AGGTCTTCAAACTTGCTGTGTAAAAATTACCTTTTATTTCCCTTCACAGTCCATTTTTATTTCTACTTTCTCTTGTTAGCTTCCCTCCCCTTCATTCCCTTCCTCTTGTCTAAAAATGGTCTCCCTCCTACTTTCTTGTCATCTTTTTTAGAGTCCATATATTAGGAAGAACATGCAATATTTTTCTGAGTCTAGCTTATTTTGCTCAACATAATGATCTCCAGATTTATCCATTTTTCTGAAAATGATAAAATTTTATTCTTTATAGCTTACTAACACTCCATTCAAACAACTTGGTTTTAATAGTTTAATGGTTGCAGAGCTTGCAGAAAACCTGTGATTACTGTAACCTGATGGAGTAAGGGTATGCATGATGATCCATTAGTATACAGGAAGCAAATAGGTGTTGAGTCCCCGATGTCCTTGAAGAGTCCCCAGGTAAGAGTGGGGCTCCAGAATATGGAGGATTGACGAAGACAGCCTCCCTCCTTGGTGGCTTTTCTGAGTTATTATGAGGTGTAGCAGGTTAAGTGTACCCAGTGAAGATGTAAAGTGGTCCCAACACCATGAATAAGTGGCTTAGATAATCATTGCAAGGAACCCCAAGGATAAGGCAGAGCTGGCCTTTCTCTTGCACTCAGAAGGAGCTCTTTGTCAGCCGTGTTATAAGGTGCTATGCTTTAGATCTAAACTGTTCCCCAAAAGCCTCACGTGTCCAAAGGAGGAAGGGGCTTTTGGAAGGTGATTGTGTCATAGGGCACTTTACTTATCTGTGCATTAATCCACTGAATGTGCTGTCAGGAGTATGCACCAGATCGGAAGATGTAGGTCACTGGGGGCCTGACTTGGAAAGCTGTACCTCCCTCTCCACTTCCTCCCTTCTCCCACTCTGCTTCCAGGCTGCCATGTTGTGAGCTGCTTTCCTCTGCCAGACCTTTCTACCATGCCTTCTTGCCTTACAGCCTGGCCAACTCTGGACTGCATTTTCTAAAACTCATCAGCCAAAATAAACCTCTTCTCTTTTAAGTTGTGGATGTCAGGTCCCGGTGATGAGAAATTAATTAAGACTTAAAGCGAAAGTCAAATCTGGCTAAAAGTTGGCCAAACAATTGAAATTGTGAAGAAGACAATTTGAAATGTGAAGTGCATCCACTGACATTTGCAATAAACCAAACTGTAAGGGAATAGTACATATTGGGATATTAGCCTGTGATAGTGTGAAGCCATCATGCTTATAAAGTGATTGAAAACTAAGCATTTGGAACATTATTTATAATTATGTAAGTATAATGAAAGCAAAGGGGTAATGTTAGTACAATAAAAAGTAAGATCATTTCACAAGGAGTATACATTTTATCTCTATCTCATTTTTATTCTGCTTTTGTACATGATTAAAAGTATCTATATGGAATGCACACATGTACAAATATACCTGGAAATACCATGTAAGAGAGTCACTAAGAGGAGTGTCCATGCTACATGTGACAAGGCAGTGGACTGGCCCTGTGATCAGATGTGATAAGAGAAGGAAAACAGCTGAATTAGAAGTTTTACAGACAATGAATTATTACCACAGGTATTCAAACAAAACCTAGATAGATAAACAAGTAACCTTTGGAGAATTAGACTGAACAACTTTAAAGGCCCTTTCAACCCTGATTTCTGTATTTCCATGATTCTTCTGGGTTTCAGTGTTCTTTAGTTAACTTCTTTCATGAAGTTTATCTCATTCTGCCTTTCATTATATTGATTTATGGGTATATTTATGTTTTCTGGTAGATTAAAATCACTGAGAGTAGAGGTTATCTTGTATTTTTCTTTTCATTCTTGAATTATCTGAAACCTTTCTTTGCAGACTGGAAGTATTCAATAAATGCTTATTAATTTAAATCATAAAATGTTTTCTTTTTTAGTAAAGCAAAAAGTATTGTCTGACTACTTGGAGAATAAAATGATATATCAAATACCAAAGAAATGAGTGAAGGAAATTGTTGGCAGGCTACCTCTTCTTCAGATTATTTTTGACATTAAATGCAGATCATTTTCAGTACTGAATGCACTACCATTACCAAAATTTCATCCTTTTGCAAAGACAATAGGACTGTCCCTTCACAAATAAGTCATGGCACTGCACGTTTTCCTCTCCCAGCGATAAACAATCCTCACATATTTGTTGGGCAGATATTCTGAGTCAAGAGCCAGGTTGTTCACTGTGAGAATTATATATTAAATATTAATGTGGTTTCTGTTCCTAAGGAGCCCAGAGCTTAATTCAGTAGACAAAGGAGAAGGGATGCTCAGGAAGCAGAGGATGATGAAATACCAGATATGACAACAGTATAAATCAGTTCTAATTGAATACACTAGGAACCCAGGGATAAGAGCATCCTTGCGGGCTGGAGTTATGATGGAGAATGGCTTTGAGCTGGCCTTTGAAGGCACTGCCTGCTTTGTCAGCTGCTCAGGGTGGCATCCCCCAGGAGAAGTAGCCCCTCTTTGTATCCATCCCAGACATTTATTGTCAGGATTCCAGATAAAAACTGGGCCGCAAGTCAGAAAGCTTTTCTATTATTAGAATTATCTACAATGGCCTTTGTCTGTGGCCTCGATAAAGCCCCAGACCCAATGCTTTTTTATCTGTAAAAGTGGCATATTGTGGCTGGGATGATGTCAAACATTCCTTCCAGATCTCAGAATCTATAGCTTTAAGAGAATAGATTATTTCCTGAGAGGGACAGATCCAGGCAATTTGCTTTGCCAGATGGCCTGTCTAGGTAGAGCCTGGAAAAAGAAATGAAACCTGAGGCTATGTGGAGAAGAAGAAACTGGAACTCTCCATGCTTGGTCTTCATGACAACCTAAGCTTCCAGGTGGCCCGGGTGTGGCCCCTCTGTCCTGGCCGTGCTGCTGGTGTCTACGGGATGGGTGGCCCTGTCGGGGCTGGGCAGAAGGCTTGTCTGGGCTAACCTGAGCCTGGTTGTCACCTGGTTCTGCAATAGCTGCCAGGCTGCAGCCACAGAGAAAATGGATTTGATTTTGTCCTTCAGTCAAATCCATCTCTGCTGCTAAACATAAGAGCTCAGTACTTATGGTAGAGACTGTAAAGTGACGGTTTCTGGAGGAAGTTTTTGCCATTAATGGATAAAGAGAACATAACTGCGAGCACAAGCATCACTTTTCTGCATATTCTTATCAGGGATGAAGACGGCTGCTCGGGAAACCAACTACAGGAAACGTTTGGGTTTTGCTCTTTGTTCTTTCAGTAAGCAAATAAAATTGAGAATATTGAATTATATAACTACTCACTAATTCATAAATTCAACAAACTGATATTGATGCTCTAACACATGAAGCACTGTGCTGTATGTCTGCAAAGTAAAGACTAAAATTCAGCTTTGCCTTCTGTGAGATAAGTTAGTGGGAAAGTCAGGAGAAAACACAGCAGTTACAATGCACTGTGACAAGTGAACGCCAAGGGAACACAGAGAACCAGAGGGTTACCGCAGAATGGCTGGGATGCAGAGCGTTTCTCCTGCTCTGGACCATGCGGTATGCAGAGGCGAGGCTGCTCCTGGAGTGGACATTTCAGGGACCACAAGGAAAACTGGCCAGATAGGGTTCCCCCACCCAATCCACTCAATAGAAACATTAACTACTGTGACTTGGACATGTTCATGGTTGGAAATCTGGGGAAAATTCCAGGGAGCATGTTATCTATGGTGTACTATGGCTTGTCTCTGAACATCATGTAGATGTTTAATCACCATTGTGAAGTATGAAGAGGGTGGAAACTTTAACCTGACTATGATGTTTAGAGGTGATGAGAATGAGATAAGGTCGTCAGGGTAGAGTCCCCATGACTGGTGGCTTTATGAGAGAAGGGAGAGAGATCAGCACACTCATATACACTTCCTGTCTCTCACCATATGATGCCCTGAGTTGCCTGGGGACTCTGCCAGTAAGAAGGCCATCACCAGATGCTGCCCCTCCAGAACCACAAGTCACAATACACCTTTTTTTTTCTTTAAAACTTGTCCTTTATGTGGTACTGTGTTAGTAGAACCAGAAAATGGTCTAAGAGCTAAAACCTTGGTTAAATCTGGAAAGTTTGAGAAGTGGGATAGAAGAAGAGAATCCAGACAAAAGGACAAGATTAGGCAAAGTTACAGAGGGAAATGTAGTGAGCTCTCACGTTGGAATTCATTATTCAACAAATACTTGTGGTGGTGGCCAGGGTAGAGCGTCAACTTGCTTGGCTTTGAAATCTGTCCAGGGGATCGGTGGAGTATACCTCTGGCTGTGTCTCGATGGGTCACAGAGGCATGGTCTTGGAATCTATGCCCTTGCCTTTTCCTCTATGTCACTGTTCCCCTTCTCTGCTTCCTGGCTGGCATGAACCAAGCAGCTTTGCTCTATTCCACTCTGCTTTGGAGCCAGCTGACCATGGACTGAATCCCCTTAGAACATGAGCCAAAATTAAACTCTTGCCCTTTAAATTGTAGGTGTTGAGTATTGTCTCACTTTCTCAGTTATTTTCCCATTGCTGGGACAAAAGACAGACTGGGCACAGTAGAGGGGCACGGCACAGGAAAGCTGTTCAACTCACGGAAGCAAGGGAGCTGGGGACAAGAATATCCCTTTTTAAGTCACGCCTCCAGTGGCCACCTCCAACTAGGCCCCAACTCCTAATAGATATGAACTCATCAGCAGATTAATCTACTGATGAGTATAGTGTCCTATGATCCAATTACTTTCCAAAAGCCCCACCTCTGAACACATGGGACTTTTGGGGGACACTGTAGATCTAAACCTTGAGTCCAGCAACAGGAAGCTGACCAGTACAGTTGTTGAACATATATTATATGCAAGGAAGTGTTCCAGATCTTGGGGACACAGCACTGAACCCATTGTCAAAGATGCCTGCCTTTGTGGAACTGATATTCTGTTGGGCCAGACAAATAAGAAATAATGAACAAAAAAATCAGTAAAGAATGCAGCATGTTAAGTGAGAAGTGTACAAAAAAAAAAGGCAGGAAGATAGAGCAGGGTGTAGATGGGAAAAGTCCGGGACAGTCTAATGTTTCTAAAGGGCAAGATGTGAATGGGTTAGGTGGGGGACCATTTGGAGTTGCTGCTGTCCTTGACTTTTTGAATGGCTCCTGCCTGGTCCATCTTCCAAACTTTTCCTGGAGTGATCTTCCTGAAATCAATCACAACAGTCCTCTGAGTAGAATCACTTAGGGTTTGTCCACTGGTTTCAGCCTCAGCTCTAAACTCCTTGGCATGCCCTTGTGGCCTTGCCTTTGCCCACCTCAAGCTTCCTTTCTTCCTTTCTGCTGGGGTGTTGACTACTTCTCTACCATCTGTTTCCCACTTCATGCTTTGGGAGCCAGGGGATTTCAGGGAAGTTGGAGCTAACCCAGCACCAAGTGAAAACCCATCCACATCACCCACACCCTGGCGAGAGTAACTGGATATGGGTGGCATCAGATCTAAAGTGATCCAGCCAGGATTGTGCTGGGATACTGAGGACACAGTGCATGTATCCTGCTCTGGACTATGTGGTATACAGAGATGAGACTGCTCCTAAGGTGGACATTTAAGAGCTCCTGGGGAAAAACTCACCTAAAGACATTGGAAGATGGAGAGTAGAAGAAAGATCCTGGAGAAAGTCAGATCCAGAGCCTTGATGACATGGATGAAGTATAAGGATTTAAAAACATGTGGTTATCAAAGCAGCCCCCAAACCACCTGGCAATGATCAGAAATGCAAGTTCTCAGGCCCCGTGCCAGTCCTGCTGAATAAGAAATCTGTGTTTAAACAAACCAACAAGTGGTTCTAATGCTTGCTAAAGTCTTTGAGCCACCGGCCTTTACAGTTACCTCAGCCAATAAGTTAGCTTTATGGCTGAAGCCAGTTTGAGTTGGGTTTTCTGTTCCTTGCGCCACCTGTATTTTTGAACCAGTAGAACTCAGACCATGTAAAAACAAATGGAACTTCATTTGTGTCCCTGAATGTCACCGTGAATTTGCTTAGGGTGCTCTTGGCTCTGGGTGAAAATTTGGGTAGCCCCCATACCTTCTCATCCCCTCCTTTTTTATTCTTCTTTTAACAAATTTGTTTATTGTGATAAAACACCCATAACATAAAATTTTTTGTCTTTAAGTGTACAGGGCAGTAATACTAAATAATGATAAATAAATCATGACCATTGTTACCGTTTACAGTTAGATGTTCCCCCAAAGCCACATGTGCTCCTAGCTGGGGCTTTTAGCAGGTGATTGGCTCATGGATGAGTCCACTGAGTTCATAGCTAAATATGAGTTGGGAAGTGAAGCCAGGTCAGAGGAGTAGGTTAGTGGGGGCGTGGCTTGGATAGCCGTGTCTCCCTCCCGCCTTTGATCTCTTTGCTTCTTGCTACCCTGCCTTGAGCTGACTCTCCTCTACCTCGTGCCTCTGCTATTCTGCCCTGCCTTGAAGCCAGAAGACTATGGACTGAAACCTATGCAGACTGTTAACCAGAATAAACCTTTCCTCCTTTAACTTGTGGGTGTTGGGTATTTTGTCTCAGTGACAAAAAAGTAACTAAGGCAACCCCTGTCTATCTCCAGAAGTGTTTCATTCCTCAAAACTGAACTCTGAACCCATGAAACAATAACTCCCTCCCCTCCCCACCCCAGACACCAGTGTCTGGTAACCACCATTCTGCTTTCCATCTTTCTGAATTTGACTAGTCTGGGTGCCCATATAAGTGGAATGTCCCATTTGTCCTTTAATGAGTGACTTCCTTCACATAGCATAATATAGTCAAGGTTCATCCATGTTGCAGCATGTGTTAGCATCTCTTTGTAAGGTCGAATGCTATTCCGCTGTCTGTATATGACACATTTTGCTTATCCATTCACCCATCAGTATGGTAGCAATCCATACTTGGGTTGCTTCCACCTCCTGGCTATTGTGAATGATGCTGCTATGAACGTGGGTGTTCAAGTATCTGCTGGGGTCCCCACTTTCTCTTCAGGGAAGTTCTAATCACAATTCTCCTCACCTTCTTCTACTCTCTCTCCATGTGGTAAGAGGTTTTTAATGTGTTGACACTGTTTTGGGATACTTGGAATATTTCTCTTACCTTTCAAAACCTCTCAAAGAAACTCAGTACCCTGGTATACAACTGAAAGTACATGAACTGCTGCTACTCACTTGTATTAGTGTTTAATGTGACTCATAGCCTTAGCCTCAAAGAAGAAAGGAAACTCAGAAGTATTTAGAGACTACCAAGTGCTGTGTCCCGGAAATGGCTTTATGTGTTTTTATCTCTTTAAATCTATGTGACCACTCTACCAAATGAGGACTCTTACCTTTTACAGACAGGAAACTCAGCTTAAGGGAAACTCAGCCAGGAAAACAGACATAGCTCTGTGGGACTGCAGAGTAATTCCTTCAGCTCTTCATCCTATTCCAGCTTCATATCCAACCTGAGAGACAAAACTGTGAACACATAAATCACAGGATACTGGCCATAAGTCTCAGAGGAGGGAACACCAACATGCACTGTCTGATGGAAGAGTGGTCCATGTTGAAGACTGAACTTGAATAGGACCTGGGAGAATGGTGACATGTAGATAAGCAGCCTTTAGAAGAGAGAAGGTTTCCGGGGGAAGGACTATTGGAGGAGTAAGGTAAGGAGAAAGGCATCAGTATGGACTCCAAGAGAGGCAGAGCTTGGACCTCCTGAGTAAATACAGAGTGCCTGATGAAGAGCAGCAAGTGACAAGCTTAGAAGGTTCTGTGCACATTAGGACAAAACTGCAAGTCCACAGTTTTTGAAAACAGCATGGCATAACACATACAGCAGGGGTTAGACTTGCACTGGAATCTCTGCTTTGTCCGAAAGTGAAACCTTGGACAGGTCAGGTAAACGCACCAAACCTTTGTTTTCTCACCCATGGATGGGGTGATAATAGCTACTCCGTGCAGCTGTTATAAAAAGTCATGATAATCAAAGACTAGAGTGTTTGTCCCAGGTTTGGCACATGAATGTTCAGTCTCCATTCTTATCCTTAGCAGTGCGGGCCAATAGGGAAGATGGCGGTTCCTGGAAACAAGACTGGAAGACCCAGCACACCATTGGAGGGAGGCTTGTTAGCCACAGAATGCAGTCTAGATTGCTGAGGGTGACATTGGGACAAAAGGGACTATAAGAGGTCCTTAGGGTTACTGGGAGGTGAAACTGTTATCAGGGACTAGAGTAGGTGGGAGGAGCTGGAATAGAGAGAAATAAGATGGCGGAGCTCCGCAGAGTGTTGAAGTAAAGTGTTAAGGAGAGGGAGATGTCCAAAACAATTCCATGCTTTCTAGTAAGAAAGAGGAAGGGTGGGCCAGGGATTTAGCTCAGTGGTTCTGCCACCTGCCTCGCAAGCTCAAGGTCCCGAGTTCAATCCCCAGTACCAAAACAAAAAAAAAGAAAGAGGAAGGGAGCATAGTTGCCACTGGGTCAGGGACTAAAAATAAGAAAGGAAAGCTGATTGGGGAATTATTTATCACAGGGAGGCTGCTATAGCCTATTCTGGTTACATTGAGCTTGAGATTAGGATAAGATATTAAAAAGTAATAAGACCATGTGTTTCCATACATAGAGTGTGTTGGAATTGATACCAGAGAATATGGGTTGAATTCTCAGAGCCTGAAAGACAGAGCACAGGAAGTGTAGATGTGACAGGAATGAACTGGCAATAGCAGTCTGCACATTAAACAACAACAACAACAACAACTCAATGAAGCGAGGGGCAGAAAAACAGGGCACTTGTTTTATTGAGGGGGAAGCCACAGAGATCTATGCTCTCCAAGACCCTGTGTGGCCATCCTTCACTCATAGAATTGCTCCACTGGACAAAGTACCAAGGGGTGCATGCTTAAGGCTGAAGGAAGGAAAGCAGAGCCGTAGAAAGTTGTTCACTTCCACTGCTGGAGAACTCAGATCTTTTGTCTACATATTTCTCGTGAGTCAGTTAAATAACATGAACTGAATACAACTGCACTGATTCTTAAGCTAGGATGCTGGCAATTCAATGAATATCCTATCGAAAATTCCCTGAACACTTCTTGGTTGCTAGGATATTATTCAGGACCACTGCAGTGTATATTTCTTGATAGTGTTCATGTGGGTTCCCCAATACTTTTAACTGTGCCCACTATTTTTAAATTTTAAAATGGAATTCATTTGGCTTAGCAATGGTTACATGGTTTTATCCTCAGCTTTTTAGAACAAATCCTATTTCAACAAAAATGACCTAATAGAAGAGTTATTCTTGAAGTGAAAATTTTCTTTTGACTTTAAATCAAATCTGATTATTTCTAAGAAAGCACAGTGATGATCATTTCTCCAAGGAGAGCACCACAGTGTGGTCTATTTATTGTTTGAATTGAATGATATGCATCATTAATCAAATCTTTGATCTGGGTTCTATCTTATTGTTATTCTGAATTAAAGCAGATTGGAAATGAAAGTCTTTAAATTTTCTACAAGCAATACAATGTCTCCAAAAGTGCCTTCCAAGTAGAAAGGAGGAGTGTGTGTGTGTGTCAGGGGAGCGGGGAAGATTTTATTCTTGCTTTTGTTTCAGGGCCATACAGATGACCAGTGCCAACTTGGTGCAAGAGCAAACCTGAAATTTTCATATCACTGGATTTTCTGCATGGCGCAGGTTGCATTAGAATGAGCTGGAAGCCCAAGTGAAATAGAACACCAAGCCTATGAACAAATATTTTAATTTTTATTCATGGGATTTGAGTAATAATAGTTAAGATTTATTGATGATTCCTGTCTTACTTGCTCTTACTTGACCCTAGCAGTCTCTGTTGGGAGCAAGTCTACATAATTTTGCGGAAAAGTCATTTGATTAGGCCTAGTTCTCCTGCCTGCAGGCCAGCTATGGCATGTCGAGACATAACTCCATTTCGGCCAATCTGGTGATGCTGTGATGTTCCAGGACAAGATTATACCAGCTGAAGACATCTTGGGAGGAACAGAATCTTCATCTGCTTAGTTCCTCATTGTTCTAGGACACCCTCACACCCTCACACCCCCACCCTGGTCATCTGTTACATTTGTTTCTCCTGATGTACTGAATAAAGGTGCTGCAAGCTCGGGAACTTTCTTCTTTGCTGCCTGGAGCAGCATTGATCAGGCGAAAAGCTCAGCTTCTCCTCTAAGTCTCATTTTTCTATCTTCTCTGTCTAATAAACTAATTCGCCTTGCGCTGTTGTGGCTCACAGGAGACTAGGACTTACTGCAGAGGTTCTACTAATGTCCCCTTTCCCTAGTCCCTATAAGTCTCCAGCATAGAAATACTGATGTGTGTTTGTTTAGCTTCTCAGGCATTAAACTGTATGAGGAAGACACCACATCTGTTTCTTCATTATTGGATCCTCAATGGAGCAGCATAGATCTTGTGTCAAATTACAACGTGCATACAATCCATATTTGAATATATAAATCCATGAATGATCAGCAGGTTAATTTGACTAGTTACAAGAAATGCTCTGAAATATTGCTCAATTACATCAAAACAATCTTTTACATTCCCTGTTAGAATCATACAAACTTAGAGAGATAAGGGCCTTATAAGTCACGTAGTGCAGTGGTTTTCAACTTTAGATGCACACTGGAATCACCTTAGACCTATGTAGACTGCTGGCCCCTGGGTCCCACTTCCAGAGATTCTGATACAGTAGGTCTGAGAAGTAGCACAAATATTGGGAGTCTTAAAATCTCCCCACGTGATTATAATGAACAGCCAAAGTTGAGCTGTACTGACATACTACAACATGTTCCTTTTATAGATAAGCAAGTTGAGGCCTGGAAAGATTAAGTACCTTGCTATCTGTCAAAAAGGTTGTGACAAAATCTAAGTGTATTGTCTCTCAGACTAGTGTTTTTTCTATTATATTTGTGTTTCTCAATTTTGACTCATTTGCAAACCACTTTTTTTTTTGGTGGGGGAGCTATAATATGCATCACATACAACATGTTGTTTTGAAATATGTGTACATTGTAGAATGTCATAATTAACATAAGCATTGCTTCACATAATTTCTTGACTTTAAATCTATTCTCAGCATTTTTAAAGAATATAATACATCGTGATTGATTACAGTCACCATGTTGTACAATAGATCTCTGGGATATATTACTCCATTCTCACCAAAATTTTGTAACTTTTGACCACTGTATCCCTCACCCAACCCTTCTACCCAGGCACTTAGTAACAACCATTCTAGTCTCTACTTCTTTGAATTTGACTTTTTTCAAGATACCACATGTTAGATCATGTGGTATTTGTCTTTCTGTCCCTGAATTACTTCAGTTAACATAGTGTCCTCTAGATTATTTTGAATTGTCACAAATCATAGGATTTCTTTCTTTTTTAAGGTTGGATAATATTCCATTGTGTATAAACACCACGTTTTCTTTATCCATTCATCAACTGATAGACAGTTAAATTAATTGCATGTCTTGGCTATTGTGAATAACGCTACACTGAGCAGGTTAGGGCAGGTATCTCTTTCACATACTGATTTCATTTGTTTTGGATTTATATGCAGTAGTGGGGCTGCTGGATCACTGGTACTTCTGTTTTTAAATTTCTGAGGAACCACCATATAGTCTTCCATAATGCTGGCATTAACATACATTCCCAACTGTACTGCACAAAGCCTCCCTTTTTCCCACATCTGCATCAAAACTTATCCTTTGTCTTTTTGATAGTAGTCGTTCTAACAGGTATGAGATATTTCATTGTGGTTTTAATTTGCATTTCTTTGATGATTGGTGATATTGAGCATTTTTTCATACATCTGTTGGCCATGTCTTCTTTTGAGAAATGTCTTTTTATATTTTATTTTCTATTTTCTAAATGGGCTGTTTTCTTGATAGTAAGTTCTTTGAGATCCTTATATATTTTGGATATTAAACTTTTATTAAATGTATGGATTGCAAATATTTTCCCCTATTCTATAGGTTATCTTTTCACTCTGTTGATCTTTTCCTTGGCTGTGTGTAAGTTTTGTTTTGTTTTGTTTTTTTTGCTTAGTGTAATCCCATTTGTCTATTTTTCACTTTTGTTCCTTGTGCTTTTGGGTTCATCTCCAAAAAATAATTGCTCAGTCAATATCATGTAATTTCCCCATGTTTTCTTCTAGTAGTCTTACATTTTCAGGTCTTAAATTTAAGTCTTTAATTTATTTTGGAGTTGATTTTTATTTATGGTGTTGGACAAGGGTCTAATTTCATTCTTTTGCATGTGGATATCCAGTTGTTCCAACACTATTCATGAAGAGACCATCCTTTCTCCATTGTGTGTTCTTGACAACTTTGTCAAAAATCAATTGACTATGAAAGTATGAATATATTTCTGGGCTTCTTATAGTGTCCAAGTAATCAATGAGTTTGTTTTTAGCCCCAC